AAATAAATTCAGTTTTTTTACAGATCTTTGTAGTTAATGTAAAATGAATGACTATAATGAAGGGTATAAAACAAGGTGAAAGCTGAAAGGTATGTAATGAAGCCTTTATTAGATTGAGTTTGTAAATCCCAGAAATGAGTGGAAAATGCAAATCAACCCCAATTAAAACCAATAATTTGATATACATCATGATATTTTTCTAGGGGGGGGTAAACAAAAATTAAAAATATTTACCCCCCCCTACAGAATCCTTATGTCCGCTCCTGAAGCGAACTTATTTCAGTTTTCGTAATCTTAGTTTGTCTTGCTGATGTATTTGTAACATTTCTTCTTAGCACATTTTAAATAAAAGAAAATAAAAAATTCTCAGATTTTTCGATTTATTGGTAGAATTAAAAATATTTGGAATAAAACATTTTCACCGGTCAAACACTTCCTTGGGGTCATAAGCATAATTTCTAAATGCTTTCCTGATTTTCCTGATGTGAAAGCAATTTTTCAAATTATTTCTAATGCGACTTGAGAAGTGAACAGAGGGGATGGGAGGAAGGGGTCAGTGTACCCTCCATTATGGGGGGGGGGTTCCTCCCATTCAGGAAGGGGGAAGTACAAAGTGCATTCCATCAAGGGGGAGGGGGAGGTTCCTGTTAAGGGAGGCGGTGTTGATTCCTTTCAGGGGTGTTAACCTCCCATTCAGGCGGTGGATTCCCCTGTTTTTTTACCTGATCATCAGCTACCAAGTCTAATTCATGAAGGTTTGATTCTGGGACAAAAATCAAGGAGAAAGCAGTTGTTATACTCACTTTTCGATACCTAGAGAGTACAGTCGGTTATTCTCATTTTTGGATACCTAGAGAGTAAAGATGTTATACTCACTTTCGGATAGCTTAAGTCGATGGTATGTACTTTCCCAAAGGCATTTTTCAAAGCGGCACTTCCCAAGGGTATTTTCCCAAATGGCAACTTCGCAAGTCTGTCATAGCCACAGCGCTCAACCCCCTAGCATGTTCTAGCCGTAGCACTCGGCCCCCTTGCTCATCCTAGTCGCAGCCTTTGTTCACATGCCTATAGCGCCGCAGAACTCAGAAGGCCTAATTGCTAAACTTTGGGATGTAGCCGCATGAAAAATCATCAATTGGGTAGTTACCCTTAGGAAAATGCGTTTGGGAAAGTACATAACACCGTTAAGTCAGGTCCTGTAGAATTAAAAGACGACATTTAAGCAATCGAAAGTGAATTTTATGTTATTGCAAATAGATTGTTTATCAGTAGCTTGAAATTCAACCCATTAGGTGAAATGGAGATTTAGCATCGTTTTTAAGAGGTTTTTACAAGGACTGTAAAAGTAATAAGGACACCAAGATATCTTCCAGAATGTTACTTTAATGGTGTTTAAAAGTTTCCGTTGTTAATCGGGCATGCCAATATTTAAATGAAATAGGCTTTTAGTGCACTTTCCGCCCATCTGCTTGTTAAACAAATTCATCTTTGAAGACGATCCTTTATGAAGCTTGAGAAAGCTGGTGATGCGCAGTGGACCGCGTACTATTTTCAAGACGGATAAATGTGGGATACATGTTCGTACCCCCCCCCCCACCTTCCTCCGCCTACTGGAGAGGGGGCATCAGTCATCACTTCAGTTGGAATAGATATGTTGTGCTGTAAACACCTCCAGCCTTAAAGGGTCGCCCAATTCCTTCATGAATAAGCCACAGATCCCAGCCCTTTCAGCGAATGCTGCTAATGTCCAAGCCAACAAAATGTCAGGGTACAAGCCATAAGTAACTAGTAACCCGAATCACCCCTGATACCAAAGCCTAGATGGAGTGAAACTGCTGTTAAGATGCCGAGAACCTGTGTGCAGTCAACATGAAGTTCCAGCTGTTCCATGTTAGTTTCCAAATGAATAATCCTAATTTCTGTCTAACCATTTTCTATTCCTCTATAGAAAACTATTTATAAACTTTTTTTACTTTCTTTGTTTTATTTCAATAAAGTTGTGAATAGCTCGTTATTGTCCATTATTTATTTGACTATAGGTCAACACTTCTATTTCAACTTGTAATTGTGGCTCTATCTGTTAGACTAAAAGAGAAAAGAATTCTAGAGTTTATAATAAGGAACTTCAGATGTGGGCTCGGATCTGTTGTGGCTAGACCCTTGTGAAAATTAAAACTCTAAATATGGTACATTTGTACTTCTTCTTATTGAAATGAAAAGAATAGGATTTCTTAATTAGTATGTATGATGTATATTTTATAGACTGTTGATTTTTGAACAAGAACCAGATTTAATAAATAACGAGAAAAAGCTGAACCGTGTCTAAATAGTTCAACTCAGTTCTTGTCTACCCAGTTCAATCATATATATGACTCGCTCTACATAAAATCTTGTCTCTTGTCGAATTTCAATACAAGTGAGATTCAGTGTGTCCAAATAAGGATGAGCCGAAAAATTTGGGAACTTATCAGTAGAGATTGGCGCATTTTACTTTTTTCATATCATTGTTCATTCTTTGTGATCGACCCATTTTGTTGATTTTTCAATTATTCAAAAAACAGTTTTGTTCGTTCTAAAAATTATCATTAATTTGTCATCTATTTCATTTGTTTTCATTAACAATCAAAATCACATTTTTCTTGTTCGTGTCGAATAACAATAGTTTTTTCATTTATCTGATCTTTCATGTAAAATTTTGTTCGTTAACAAAAACAATTGGAGGTGTCAAGAAATATTTTTATTGTAAAATTGTAATTAAGATAAAAGTTAGTCCAAGATGAGAAAATAATAACAACAGTACAAAACATGGATTATCAATTTTTTTCTTCAAAAATTACAAAATATAAATATTTAAAAATTCTTACTTTGGATGAGCTGTTTTATTACTGATCTTATTGAAGATATCTGTACTGTACTCTGTTCTTACTTCACTTATATCCTTCAAGTTGTAGTAAGACCCCCCTGAAAAATAAAATATCTCTACTTTAAGGGATGGTAAGCCTCAATACAACTATGGCAATGCTCGATTTACAACGGTACTCTTAAAAGCTTTGTTTTATCAAGTATGAACTAGAATATCCATGTTTTTGTTTCTTTAATTGGATTATTTTCATTTGCGGGTTCTCTGCCAAAACGACTTGCTTATTTCATGTTTATTTCTTGTAAGCAAGATATGCACAAGTAATTTTTGCATTGAAGAAATTATTTAAATTAAACACTTTGCAAGTCAGAGAAACAATATTATCTTCCTCATTCTTAAAAACATCAATGTTCCAAGGATATCGTTACAAATCGGCATTGCTATATTTGCATTAAGGGTCACTTGAAATTATGCTAATTGTCCCTTTCAGGCATTTTGGTTAAATTTGAAGAATTTTAAGAGTTGGCTTGACATGATTCTGTATCAGACAAACCATGATCAATTCTATCCGACTAAGCGCCAACTTAATAAGACTGGCTCTACCGAATTAGATTAAAACGCCTCAACTCAGCCACCTTTAAACACTGTGAAGGTATATATATATACAAAAGGTTATCCACAAAGGATGAGATTGTAATGACGATCTGAAACTCTTGGAATATAATTGTTTAATGACACAAAACATGATTTGGCAAAAATCTGTATAAGTTTCAGGGAATACAAGGGTATAATATGGTATCATTATTATTTAAACAGCTTTATCAGGTTGAGATGGGATTTCTCAACGAATCTAGTTAGAAGTATATGTTAAAAATATTACCCACCTGTGATTTACATTAGCTACAGGGTGTCCCATGAAACATGAAAGTTGGTAAATAGTTTTAAATGTCGTCTTTCATAAACTGTATTAGATATTAAAGGCTGTTTGCAGTTTATTTTGTTAAACAAATCTTTTGCTCAAATATATTTTACTTTGAAATTAATTTTACTATTATAGGACTCCTATATACAATTTTTATTACACAACTTTTTTTCTATTACACAACTTAAAAATTCTGGAAGAAAACATTCTGAACTATTTACCAACTGTCATGTTTTGTGGGACACCCTGTATTTGTTATCTAAATTCAAACATAACCTTACTTTTAAAAATATGAGCAAAATTCCAAGCAATTCGATTTCAATACCGCGCAATAAAATTCTGATATGCAAGTTGCAACCCTACCCACAAGAAACCTTTTTTAGGAGGGCATTGTTCGAAATTTGGAAGTACCCAACAAAAAAACTATGCTTACTTGATTTATACCTTTCACCAATGACTGCATGAAAAAAACAAGAAGATTTTTTTATGGGAAAAATAGTAATAATTGATAAAACTTAAAAAACATCATTTTAAACTTAACATTTTAGATTTACAAAAAATTTGCATAACAACACAGGGTAAATATTTTCTTTTTAAAGATACCCCCCCCCCATCCCATGTCCAAATTTCATATTTGACACAAAAAAAATTCTTCAAAAATTTGTACCCCTAGGTAAATACAGAATAGATTTATATTTTGTTAACTTAAACTTCAAGAATTTAACAAATTTAATAAAGATTTTAAAAAATTTCTTTAAAAAAACTTTAAATTCAAATAAATTTAGTTTTTCTTTACATAAAGATACCTTCGACAGAGCTGCAGCCTGGGATCTTTGAATTCTCCTTGTGAGGAGTAAACCTTAGCAACAGGTTCTCCATGTCCAGCCAGTATGTCCTTAAAAATATATATAAAGGGACTGTTGACATATTTTTAAGTGAACCTCCAAAGGTTACAAACCAATGCACAAAACTGCAATGTTTTTCTTATTTATGAGGAATATCTATCCAGAAAAGAACTAAATTCTGTCAATTACAAAATAAATTTACGTATTATGTCAAAGTATATATAAACGGCAAATGAAAATGCTCATTTCTCAGATAGAAAATTAAAGGATATCTTTATAGTTTTGCTTGAGGGTGTCTTTCCATGAAAACCAAATGTTATAAATGCAAATTTTACCATATTGATTTGAGCAACTTAGAACTGTAGAGTAAAGACTTGAAAAACAAAATCTTTGTTCTTACCTTTTGTACAAGTTGATCCCTCTTAATCCCTTATCTCTAATTTTATAGAGAGTTGTTCCTTTCTTCAGTATTTCTAGATTGTCCTTTAGTGACTTGGACTGGGAGAACGCTTCTAAATAGATATTTCAAATGTTGAATAACAAGTCACAAGACATGTCAGTCAAACAGGTACTTTCCCAAAAGCATTTTTCCAAAGGCATTTTTCCAAAAACATTTTCCAAAGGCATTTTCCAAAAGGCAACTTCCCATGAGACAATTTCCCAAGTTAGGTCTTCTGAGGCACCTCAGGCAGCAAATGGGGCCGGGTACTACAGCTAGGATGGGCTAGCAGGCACAGTGCTGCAGCTAGAACAGGCTAGGGCGCCAAATGCTGCAGATGGGATAGACTTGGGAAGTTGCCAAATAGGAAAATATCCTGGGAAAGTTTCCCCTTGGGAAAATAGTGTTGGGTATGTACCTTACATCAAACTATGAGAAATAAAAGTTTAAAGGAAACAAATGAGAATGTTACAACCTTCATGCAACTGAATGAGTACAAAATTTACAAAAACAGCATTAACCGAAATCATCAATAGAATGCATTGTTCAGTCCAAGTAGATTGTGCCCATATCATTTATTGAAGTGTTCTATACATAATAAAGTAGTGGAGTTTAAAGAAGATACTGCAAAATAAAAGTAAATAGAAGTAGGTTATAAATGAAAAAAATGTTGAAGAAACATATTGGAAAATATAAATTGGCTTAGCAAATAGTTTATTTTGTTTATTAATTTATTAGCACTATTTGCTATATGACTAGTATCTAAATATAACAGCACATCAGATGTGGGTGTAGTATAATTTTAAATAACCTATAGTTCGAAGTGACAAACTTTTTTTCTGACAGATATTTTGGTAACTAGCTCTTGACAGATGAAAAGTATAGTGAAAAATATATGTTAATGATACTTTGTGTATTACATTGATCAATAACTTGTCAAGTAAGAACAAGCAATGATCAAATTTTTAATACAATTAGATTAGTCTAAGAAACTGATAATTGGGAGTGAATTTACCTATCACCATTTGAGCACCAGTGCTAAGACTAAGCATCCGCCCAAAAGAAAAATTAGATGCTCTATTATCCAAAAGCTTAACAACACCGGAAGCTCCATAAAAACCACCTCTATCATGTACAAGACTGATGTTTTTACCATTTTCAAGCTTTGATTGTTCTGAGACTTCCTCTTCTACAATGGATGTTTTGACCTGTGTGAAATTTAAAGGTTCCTCTTTTTTTAAATATGGAAGTTCTAGTCCTTCATCTGGGACTTTCTGGGTTTCCTCTTGGGAAACTTCTGAGGGTTCTCCAATGGATTGATGTTTTTCAAAGCTTTTGATATTTTCACAATCTGGACATTCTTTTGAAAACTCTGCTTCTGCAAACAATCTGTGTTCCAATTGTTTACTCAGTTCAGCAGGAGAAAGAGTTAGAGGCAGCTCAGGAGGTTTATAATTATCCTCTAAAGATTCATCGTCCGATTCAACTACTTCAGAGAAAACATTTCCATCCGTAACATCTTGTACAGAGCCAATTTGAGGAATGTCAACAGAGGTGATCTCTTTCAGGGCCTCTTCACCCTAACTCAACATAGCAAGTGAAAAAATGTTTTCTAAAAATTTGAATTTTACAAAATCTTAATGTACCTCAATACAATCAATAAGAGATTTCCGCATCGATCTCCTAATCTTAACATCAACAATTTGCTCAACCTTTCTCCTTGACACCTTAACTACTTCCTCAAGTACTTCTTTGGCTAAATATGGCATCAAATATTTAATTTTACATGAACTATATTATTAGTTAAAATTTTTAAGGTTTTCAAAAAACGTTGAAGAGTAAGGTTTTAATATATGCCTTTCCTAAACCATCAGTATCTTCTGATGAAATAAATGACAGTGACTTGTGCACTGTATCATCAATTTCTTCTGCCCATCTAGAACTGTATTGCACATTTTCATCTCCTCCTTCCTCAGATGAATATGAATCATTGTGTGACTGTGTAGATGAGGAGGATTTAATTTCTGTATGAACTGTTGATGCGGAGATCTCATTTGGTTTGGAATTAATGGATTGGTCAAAATCACCAACATTTTCCACAGAATCTTCTTTATTGTCCTGCTCTTTTCTTTCATTCTCAATCAAAGAACCAGATAATTTTTCAAATTCATCTGATTTTAATAATTGAGATGATTTTTCTGGAATGTGGTTAACATTAGAACAAATGTTATGCTGATCAGAAATAAAGGATTCTGATAGACTTTCCACAAACTCATTAATGCTAGATTCTGATGAACTGCGTTCTGGTCTCTTTGCTGTATGGTACTGACCCACGGGCAACAGTGCAGACTTTACAGATTGTCTTACCAGGGGAGTAGGAGTGTTCCTGTTCAATTTACTGACGTCAGACTCATCATTGTGATTCCTGTTTTCAGAATTTGTAGTATGAACAACTAGTTCTGCTGTCTTCAGACTAGCATTTGAAAACCTTCTAACAACCAATGATTCAGGAGCAGACTCAGATTGGAAAGGTCTCCATGGCCTTAACATAAAAGTTTTGCTAAAGCTACTTAAATTGAAAGCATAGAACAACTAGAAAATAATCAATAAAGTCTAATAAACCTTGGCGCAAGATTGTTAAAATCTCTACTGTTTCTAGCAGACATTATTTTCACTTCTCTGAAACCAAGAAAGGACAACTGATTGAAAATCTATTTCTAAACCACAAGTGCGAAGTTACTGACCACAAGATAATAATAGTGACATAATAGTCATCAATATCTTAGGTTTTTTAAGAGCTTTAATTTCATATAAATCTGTAAAGACTTATGTATGATAATCAACATTAGAAATCTACACTTTAAATTAGTCACAGTATCCATCAGCTGGGAAAAAGAAGACTAACTTGTTTCATAGAAAATTCATAATCAAATACAAACAGTCTAGTTCTTTAACTGAAAATAGGACCGACAATAATCTTTATCTTTCACTAGGTAAACATAAAGAAGATAAGAAATTTATTACAAACAATTTGTATTAAAACTTGGAAAAATTATTTTTTTTCTTTTTAATATTCATCAAAAAAATGAAAAGGGGGAAGGTAAAAAAAAACAGGAGAAGTCAATGGAAATGTGGGATTTTTTATATAAAAGTTATAGACTGTTACTTTCTTCTTTAACTATTCCCTCATTGGCAGAGAGTTTCAAGAGAGGGTTTAGAGAATTCAAAAATAACTTGATGAAAAATATATATTTGGATTAATATTTTTCACATCCTTATCAATTCTATACAAAAACAATGATATTATTAGTTAAGTCCCAAATCAGAGATAAAAGGATTCCTTAATGCTATTATAACTAGAATATTAATATTCTCTATAAATTGTTAGATGCCAAATTTTCAAGCTCTCAATGCAGGATTTTATTTTCAACCAATAGAGCTTCTGTAAGACAAAAAAATAACGACTTCAAATTTTAATTCAAGGGTGCTTCTTTTCTAAATTAATTCCTTAAATACCACAACATAAACTGAACAACTGCTGTAGAAATCATGCAAATCGAAAACCAACATAAACAAACAACAATGCTTTTACCTCTTTTGCGCTCTGAGCGAATAGAAACCATACTGCCCCGCAATGGTTCATTGCGAAATAAGAAACCTTTAGTCCAATAATCATTAACTCACAGTCGACAAACATAATGATAGTGTCATTAAAATATTCTAAATCTGGACATTTTTTTCTAATGATTCAGGATTCTAAACAGGTTGTTAATTAACCAGGAAAGCACCCATTAATGCAAGAAAATGTTAAAACGAGGTTTTTGGATTTTTTTTATAATTTAATACTTTTCAAAACTGATTATGGATTCCTTCAAGACAGTTGACAGAGACGGGTTCCTCAGAGTCAGAGTCAGACATGACGAAGCTTGGAAGCGAGACAACTTAATCTACAAATCATATAAAGAAAGAAAATTCTGAGAGCTCCATGTATGAATATACATCAGCTACATAAATGGCTGGGCAGTGGACTAAGTGGGGATATTTAGCAAATTAATATATTTGTCCCAACAAAAATATTTTGGACATTAAACATGATTTGATTGAAGGGGCCTATCTCTTTACCATAATTTAATTTGCTGTTAAAACATTGATTGAGAAAAGTAGTTACATGCCCACTGCCCAGCCATACTATTCTGAACATTATTCTAAACAACATCTTTCGATTTGTTTCGACGAATTGAAAAAATAAATTATTCTATTCCTTGTATTTTGCTATAATTAGATCTGCATCATAATGTCATAATGATTTATTGGAAAAATGTCTATTATATGTTTTTGTCCCCTGGAAACTTGAAAAAAAAGATAATTGATAATTAGGTCAACATTAGATCGACTATGTTTTGCACCTAGAGCTGGAAAAGATTTTGTAAAAAAAACGGCAGGTTTTTGAAAATGTACAGAAGATTACGCTAATGAAGGACAAAACACATTAGTTAAGAAATCATTAAAAAACAAAAGTAACTATTTGAGAGAAAAAAATTCATGGAAAATAAATAAATCTTCTAATTTCCACCACAAATGATAAATGACCATAACTTTTGAGAAAGACAAGACAAAAAGAACAAAGGACAACCTAAAAAGTGTTTAAACCAACTGAAAAGTATTTAAACCATCTGTTAATGAACGGCTAGGATAAAGCCTGAATGTGGCCAGCCCTAATTGTAACACTACATCACTATAGTTCTGTGTCTAGTCATACAGGAAATAAAAAAACCGGGTTTCAGACATTTTAACTAAACTGCATTTAAATGCCTTAGATAGATAGATAAAGCTAGAAAATTTAAGATAGATTTGATAAATATATAGATAAATAGATTTGATAAATATATAGATAAATAGATTATATCAGTTGAAACTTAACAATCTTCTTATAACATTTTATTCATAAACAAATTGTTCCATGCTTTTATGCAATCATCAGTATATAAATAGATTATATATGTATGTATACAAAAAGTCATACAGATGGATACATAATTAATATACTTAAAGTAATAGATATGAATGTTGAAAGTATAGATATATTAAAAAAATACACGATTGTTAGAAAAAAGAGATTGTTTTTATCATAATCAAAATAAAATGATAAATATTTTTTTAAGCGATTTAAAATATTAACGCTTAACAAATTAAATGCAAATGAAATGTTAGTCAAACTAAATTAAGTTACTAATTTGATACAAGAACTAACAGGTTCTGTGTTTTCCTAAATCCCCCCCCCCCTCACACTAGGGGACAGATTATGAAATTTTCCCCCCTTTAAGCAAAATATTCCCACTTGGATTTTTGTTGAACTGTATTTTGGTCATTTTCATGTCATTACCCTTTCAATGGGGGTAGAAGGGGGGGGGGGGATTTGATTCCTCCAGTCTTGAAAATTGAATTAAGGGGCTGCATGCACCTTTCGCCCCAAAATTTACTTCTGTTTGTTCATAAATAAAAATAAGTCTGCTTTTTTGTGTAATTAATTAAAATGTTTATTCATTTATTGACAACTGCGACCTCTAATGAGGTCCAATAGAAAATGTAAGGTCCAATTAGTTCAGCCATCTCGACATTTTTTTAGAAAACAAACAAACAAAAAACACACAAAAATTCATATTCTCTCTGTAAAAATTAAAAAATAAAATTAATAATAAAAAGTTTATTATTTGGCGTACATAATTTACAATATGTTTACGTGAAATATTCGAAAATTTTAAACAATTAACATAAAAAAGTGTTAGTTTTGAATTTTTATATGAGATTATAAACTATGAATTTACCGCTTTTGGGAGTCAACTTGTCTTTTGTAGCTTTCAACATTGTAGGACCATCTGAAACAATGGTATTAAGAATATCTTAAAATAGAAATTTCGATAAAAATAAATCCCTTTTCAGGGACTGTAAGCATAATTTCAATTAACCCTCCATGCAAAGTTGGCAATACCTGAGTCACATCAGAACCCTTGAAACCTTTATCTTATCAATTATGTGGAAGATATTGCCGTTTTTCTAGGTTTAAAAACGTTTAATTCTGATAATTACCATTCCTACAGTACAAGTAGTAAATACGTAAGTCACTTTATTACAGAACTTACAATCATTTTTCAAAAATTAAAATCATAAACATTGTTATAATTCAAATTTACAAAACTTAAGGGTATCGTTGTGAATTTGGCATTGATGCAGTCACTCACTTGAAATTACCCGTAAAATCCCTTTAAATTCAATCTTTGTTGTGGTACTTTAAAGGTGTCGTATCGTTTGCACTAATGGTTGATCGGTCTAACGTACATTCGCACTAACGTTCATTCGGACTAAAGTTTTATTTGAGGGTTAAGTTAGGTTAAGACAATTTCTAGGCCGAGCCTGCGGCTAGGGGGGCGGGCAATGCGGCCACAATGGTTACTGATCAGCTGATTTTAGTGAAAAAGTACATTAGTTCAATCGGACATTGGTGCAAACGATATAGCATCACTTTAAAATCAAATAAATTCAACTAATCGTTCTCTAGGAATATACCGATCAAAGAAAACTGTTTATGATTTAATAATTTTTTATAAAATGTTTTAAAAAACTTGTTCAAAAACCTTTAAAGTCTTGTCACAACAAGGAAAGATTTAATTTTAAAGGTTTAACGTTAATAATTACTGTAAATATTTATGTTTTTATTTTACTGAGACTTGAGTACACTTTCATCTAGGAACTTTCTTTTGTTCACAGTGACCCCGGGGATAAAGCTTGCTAGCAGACAAGAATAGTAATACGCCTTTGCAGACAGGTATTTTTACTGCACGCCTGCGCTACTTCTGTCCTATGAGGGGAGGAAGGCCAACCACATCAATCTCTAGTCCGAACCACATTCTCATCATTTTCTCGTCCGAACCACATCGACATCCTCGTCCTTTCAATATTACTTTATTTAAGTGTCCGATCCTTGAAAATAAATACATTTTTTAAAACTATGGCGACGTTAGGGCATAGATGAAATATAAAATTTTCCCAATTAAATTTTAGATTTGTGTAAAAATGAAAATGCTCCATAAACGATGTTCTACAAAAAAGCGTCTGTTTAAGAGCCCTTTCTTTCGCGGAAAATGCCGCAAAACATTCTCAAACTCGATGTAAACAACTTTTTGTAATATTCACGCTGAATTTGGGTTAGAGATATGACTTACAATTTTTATATGATTAAATACTGTTTGAGTTCATAGGGTTGTGACCAATTAATTGTAGCAAATGATTTGAATAATATAAATTGAACATTATTTTTTCTATAATTTTAAGTATGCGGCGGGCAGTAGTGATCGATCTCTTAGTGGGGACAACAAATCTACCTCATTTGTAAATAAATCAGAAATCAATGATTACTTTGTATGGGTTGAAATGGAAAGATTAAAGACCATGTTCACGCGAATTCTTTGGTATAAATTTTTATTTGTGAAAGTTATCCATTTTGGAGGCAGAAGAGATTCAATTTTTAACCTAAATAATGTTTGACATCATTCTCGTGGATTTGAAGATTCCAACATCTCAAAATCCTTGGAAAACTTTATTCTAGTCATGTTTTATGCCCTAACGTCGCCAAATTAAAAAAAAAATGTATTTATTTTCAAGGATCGGACACTTAAAAAAAATTATATTGAAAGGACGAGGATTTCGATGTGGATCGGACGAGAAAATGATGAGAATGTGGTTCGGACTAGAGATTGATGTGGTTGGCCTTCCTCCCCTCGTCCTATACTGAACTTCGGGCCACGGCCTGTATCGATATCCGGCCGATGATATCTGTAGGCAGGATCTCAATTGTCGACTTTAGGGATCTATAAACAATATGATACATTATGGTGGTTCTGTTTGGAAAATATATACAGGTTCCCAATTTAGGAAAACATTTTAGAGACGACTGTATGGAATTTATACCATCCCATTTTCATAAATTCACTCCCTGCAACTATATAAAACTTACGTTTCTTTCTTTGCTAACCATTATTAGCATTCTGTATTCTTTGAATCATTCCTTGCAAAACAGGACTGAGTAAATTCCCCATGCGTATATATGCATGCGTACCCATACTTGACCAAGGAGAATTGAATACTAGGAGGGGGCAATATAGGGTTTCCGTACACTTTGCTGTGACGTATTTGGACTGCTGGAGAACTAGTTTTTGCGTAACAACAATAATAAAGATTGTACGTTATGATGAAGATTGACCGTATACTAACTCATGTTTAAGTTTACATTAGATCGGCTGCCTTTATTATTGTGTTACGCAAAAACTAGTTCTCCAGCATTCCAAATACGTCACAGTAAAGTGTACGGAAACCCTTGAAACCCTATTGCCCGTTGCCCCCTCCTTGTATTCAATTCTCCTTGCACTTGACCTTCTTGAGTTCGCGCAGGAAACAGTTTATGTTTTATTTAAACCTGTTCTTTATATCTCTCTTAACATGAAAATGTACGTGTGGGGGGGGGGTTGAATCAATAATAGGAGGAAGTTAAGTGGCTTGCGTAATACAAAGAAGACGACTTTTCTATTCATGTTTTGATTTCAAGTTTTTTCAAGTTGAAAGCTTAAAAGTAAGCAAAGATTAATTGACAATTTATACTTGTTTTAAGTGCTGTTTAAAGATCAATGCTGTTTGTAAGCTTGTAGAACTCCAAAATTGAACTCGAAAGTCGTCTTCATTGTATTGATATATATACGACGACGACTGTAAAAGAAAGTTGGTTTCCAGACAAATTTAAATTCCAAAGAGAGTAATGAAAAAAAAGATATTTTAATATTTAAAACAATAGTCATTATGCTTTGTCAAACATTTGAATATTCTTGAACAGAACCACAGGGTGTCCCACTCCCACTAGACAGAATAAAATAGTGTCCTACTTAACAGATCTACAGGATTTCCCACATAAACAGAACTACAGTTGTCCCACTAAACAGATCTACAGGGTGTCCCACGAAACAGAACTACAGGGTGTCCCACTAAACAGAACTACAGAGTGTCCCACTAAACAGAACTACAGGGTGTCCCACTAAACAGATCCACATGGTATCCCACTAAACAGAACTACAGGGTGTCCCACTAAACAGAACTACAGGACGTGTCCCATTAAACAGAACGACAGAGTGTCCCACTAAACAGAACTACAGGATGTCCCACTAAACAGAACTACAGGGTGTCCCACTAAACAGATCCACATGGTATCCCACTAAACAGATCCACATGGTATCCCACTAAACAGAACAAAACTACAGAGTGTCCCACTAAACAGAACTACAGGATGTCCCACTAAACAGAACTACAGGGTGTCCCACTAAACAGATCCACATGGTATCCCACTAAACAGAACTACAGAGTGTCCCACTAAACAGAACTACAGGATGTCCCCCTAAGCAGAATTACAGGATGTCCCACTTAACAAGAACTACATGGTGTCCAACTAAACAGATCTACAGGGTGTCCAAGTAAATAGATCTACAGGGTGTCCCAATAAACTGAACTACAGGGTGTCCCACTAAACAGAACTACAGGGTTTCCCACTTAAATATACAGTGATAGCCAGAATTAAGAAGACAACTGTATAGCAAAACTTGAATGTATTTGAGGTTGTAACAAGCAAATAGCTTTACAAGAAACTTATTAAATCACTAAAAGGGGTCTGTTTTCACTGCACATTTGATGTGTCTTCTGTTCATTGCACTATTTAAAGTCATATAAATTGAGTCTAAAAGTTGTCTTAATATTCCAGACTTTTTTGGTTTTCACAATACACTAAAGCAGATTTAAATCTCAAGGCAATCTTTGCAAACTGACACTGAAGCTGCACCTTTCAAGCCCCAGGCACTAGGCAGTTGTTTAAACATTCAGGCATGTAGTCATGAACAGTCACGCCTTACGTCATGCAAATCCCGGCTTCGGGCCCTGGAATAAACTATTTTAAAATTTGTCAATTCTTTGAACCCTGGAATTCACTATTTTAAAATTAGTCACTTTTTTGGGCCCTAAAAAACACTAGCATATAAGCAGTGAGTAATTTAGGCCCTGTAACTCTCAACTTGACAACCATTAATTCCTTTGGGCCCTGGAATTCTCTATACTTGATGTTCTTTGGAACATGGAATGTACTGCTTTATAATATAAACCGGTATTATTTTTCTTTATTATGAAGTGCGTCAAGAATACATTTAAACCAAGAGAGAAGTTAAAGTTTAATTTTCTTAACCTTTTTTAAGTTGTTGGAACAAAATACTTTTTTATACTATTTTACATTTATATATTTGGAGTTCCTGCCGGGTCCCAAGCTCTAATTTTTTTTATCTTTATATCTATTTGCAACCTGATGGTGTAAACTTTTGATATTTCAAACTTACACAATGTTCCCTAACAGAATTTAAAGTATAAAATATAAAAAGTCTACGACATTTGGGTTGCAAAGAAAAAAAAGGGTTTATAACATCATAATTATAACAACATAAGCACTATATTGGAGTGGACCTGTCTTAAACTATTCCCCTCTGACCGAGAAAGTGAATTTATCGAGTACCCCCCCCCCCCTCATGAAACCCTGTACAGTCCTGCTGCCTGTTCGATGTCCAAATTATAGAAAGAAAGATAGATAGTATCTGAATAATACCATCTTTTATAGCTTCAGGCTGTATTACTTGTCCGGGGCATATGCACTATATTGGAGTGAACCTGTCTAAAACTAACCCCCTCCCCTCTGACCGAGAAAGTGAATTTTTCATTTATCGCTTAAACTCCAAGGTACATGTTGCAATGTATTTACCAAGTACCCCCCCCCCCCACGCCCCCTCCCAATGGAACCCTGTACAGTCCTGCTGCCTGTTTAATTTTCAAATTGTCCAATGGTAGAACTCAATACTCAGGCTTCAATCTGCCGCTTTCAGTGTTAATTTAGTTTAGTATATTACCAGTAGAGGTCTCGAATAATGCTTCGGCATAACACTTGAATCTGTGTACAGACAAATGCAAAACCAGCCATATTGTTTTTCTTGTCCTTATTTTAAATTCTAATATCGAATATAATTTTTACAGCAAAATACAGGTTCTTTAGACCAATTTCAGTTTCACTCAAACTAAAATCTGTTAATGGATGAAATATTAGACTTAGATAGTGAAGAAATAGACAATATTTATTAGAAACATGTTACATTTTTAGAAGACTAAGTTGGTATACATACGAACCGGTCTAAACTCTTCAACATGTGCGCAAATCTAGCCCTAACGGTAATTGACGAAACCAAACACCGCTTAACGAAATACACACATATAAGCATAAAATGAAATATGCTTATTATGAATAACACAGTAGAATATAATAAAAATACAACACTAGAACGTGTTACTATAAAAGAAAAACTTAAATTAAGTAAAGTAATAAGAAAAAAAATATAACAACCCGTTAATCCCAGTTTATATTATACATTAGTTCAGTTTGACTATTTTGGGAAAGCAATTATAAAAATTGTAGTCTGGGAGTGATATATCAATGGATTTTTTTATTGTTTTATACTTATAGGATTCGTGAATGATTAACTTAGCTCTTACACTGCGGGATTTTTTGAAAAATTTTGAGAAGGTTTTCTTAGTTATGGCCAATGAGAGAAGTTTTTCAAAATATATCCTATTTTCGCGGGTCATTACCGGAATTTGGCATGAGTATAATTAGTCTGGACGTATAAAGGTTTGGCTTTGACTGAGAATCAGGCATACATAAGGTAAACAATCAAGAGCCAGGGCATAGTGTTTTAGCATACTAACCCTTAAGTGCGGACACTATAACAAAAACAAGTTTGGTTGAATCAAAAAAATTTGTTTTTGAAAATGATCAAGAATATAAAAGAAATAAATTAAATGAATTTGAAAACTTACAAGAAGTTAAAAACTTACAAGAAGTTGAAAACTTAAATGAATTTGAAAACTTGATCTATTATTTATTAAAAATAAAATCAGGTCTGAGAAACCTTTTATTAAAAACTGATTCATTAAAATATTAGATTTGAAGAGTGATCTGTTTAAATTATACAAATAATAAATAAAAGCTGCAACGAATTTTTTATTCTTATAAAGCTCCAAAAAAGATTAAATACTTAAAAATATATTTTCCAAATGTAGATCTAAATTAAAAAAAATACTATATTAAAGCTTGGTTACAAAGATATAATTATTAATTAAAAAAATAAATCCAATGGTGCCAAAATAAGTTGATTCAATAAACATTAAAATCCAATATCTGTCTTCTACAATTCCTAATATAGAAAAACATTTCCTGAAATAAATTCTAAGTTAATTGAATAGAAAGTCTAGCATAATAATCAACTGTAAAGAAGACTTATGGTCATATATATATATATATATATGTACTTATAGATTGATTCCTCTAGATTTCTCTCTTATCTGTGAATCATATTTTCTCTCAACCATATTTGTGTATTTGAATTCTAGTAACATATGTAAGGAGGGCTCGTGAAAAGCTCACATGATTGATTCCTTAGTTCTCCACCAGTCAGATCTCGTCAAATACTGTGCTTTTCTTCTTGAGCTAAATAGTAAACTTTATAAAATTTGAGAAGGGTTTCATTAGGTTTTAAACAGATGTGTGATAGAAACCCTGGCTATCAGAAACAGAACCTATATCATAGGCATGCAAACTAACAACGGACGAATATTTATCAATAAAAATATCTTTAATTAAGGGTTGATAAGCTTTTTCAAAGGTTTCCAAACGGACTATATCAAGGATAATGTTTTCAAGATTAGGTTAAACAATACCCTGAGGTTCTTGAATATTATCTGGGATATCATCAAATACTCTTTAAGAATCATCTGAAGACGAGGATTGATTACATTGAAAGGTATGTTTTGTAATTTATCTTTAAAGTTTTTATTTTCGATAGAATTAAGGGTGGCCTGTTCAGCTCGCAATTTTTTCAATGTATGATCGGATTTTTTTGATCAGGGTTAGTGTTATGTGAAGAATTAAAGTTAGATTCATATGGGGTCAAAATTAAAAATGACGTCAAAACAGGTAAAACAGGTAAGCCGACCTCAGGTAAAGATTCTAAGAATTTTATTTGTTTAAGAGGGCGATCAGGGGAGCGGGGGAAGGCAGGCGGCCATGAGCCACCACTATTTCCCCTTCCGTGCCACATATTAGCTTTTTTCTCTTCCGGCAGCAATGAGCCACCACTATTTCCCCTTCTGTACCACCACATTTGACTCTTCCGGGCAAAACTACTTTTTTAAATGGTATATTTAGGGCCTTTAAAGTGTGATTTTTAAAAATCCAGCCGCGTCACGCAATAAATATATATTTAGATCTTTATATTTCAGTGTTAATATGTAATAAGGATGATTCCTCTTAATGTAAACTGTAAAACTTTTTTTTTCAAAAAAGTAGTTTTGCCCGGAAGAGTCAAATGTGGTGGTACGGAAGGGGAAATAGTGGTGGCTCATGGCTGCCGGAAGAGGAAAAAGCTAATATGTGGCACGGAAGGGGAAATAGTGGTGGCTCATGGCTGCCTGCCTTCCCCCGCTCATCAGGGAGATGAGTTTCAAAATTTAAAACTTCATGAACCACAGTATGTGAACTAGGTCGGCTAGATGTTTCCATAAGATCGGTAATAATATCCGAATCCTCTAAAGCTTCCACTTTTCCCCTAATTTTCCCACGAATTTTATATTTCAAAGATTAATTTCAGCTGCTAAAGGTTGCACAGGTAAAGCAAACGCAGAATTTAAAGGTTAAAATATAAAAGGTCTAAGAGATTTGGGTTGCAAAGAAAAAAAAAGATTTATAACAAAGTTGGCAAAGTTCATTTCCCTTTTTTCTGAAATTTCAATCATTAAATTTGCAAAATAATAAAAATTTCATCAATTGCTCAATTAATTTTTTGTTATTTTTCAGACTTAATTGTAAATTTGTAAAGGATTATTAAATCAAAAATGTGATTAAAACTGTCTACATGAATTTTTTTTACAATTTTTATATTTTCACTAGATTTTTTGACTTACAAAATTTTTAACTTTAAACATAGAATTGAGTTCTTTAATAATACTTTTACATATATTCTGTACTTTCTACAAATGGACTGTAAAACATAGCAAATAATAAACATCATTAACAAAATAGTAGATAAACAATACAACTAAACACTTGCATTACAGGGACCATCATTCTATTTTTCAGTGATCCTAAACCTTTAGTCTGACGTCTTCTTTAGACTTTTATCTGATGTTTTTCTAAAACAGAAAAACATGGATATCTCATTCCTTCTTGATCAGACACAGCTTTTAAGGTTATCTTTGTGAATGAGACATGACAATCTATAAATGAAGTCACTTTAAATCATGTCACAGTCTCTTTAAGCTTAAATATTCTAGACCCTATATCTTTGCAACCTAAGGGTATAAACCTTTGATATTTCAAACTAATTGAATACAGTGATAACAGGAAAGCTCTTAAATAGGAAGACGACTTTTAAACTCAAATTTGAACTTAATGAATATTAGACATAGCAATTGTACAGTGTAAATAGACCCATTTAACTTAAATTGGGCTTTGCTAAGTTACTAGTAAAATTATTTGCTTTGTAACAACATCAAAACGCTTAAGTATTGCTATTCCATTGTTTTCTGGTTATCACTGTATTTGGTCCAGGAAAATTCATAGTTTAAAATATCAAAGGCCAAAGACATTTTGATGCAAAATTATAAGAATTATCAAAAAAAAAAACTTGAGGAGGTGTTTAGTTTCTTTTTAAAGTTTGTTGTCAAAACGTTATGTTAACTAAATATAACCTACTCGA